GTTAAGAAAATGTCAGGAAGACTAAACTGTAATAGTCTGAGGCTCAGATTTTTGAAAGACTGCATTTGCCTGGAGAGATCTGAAAAATTAGATGTAACCCTCTGGATAGGTAGGATTGACAAAGAGAAAAGTAAGGCAGTGTTTCTAAAGAAGAAACTGCATGAACTAAGCGTAGAGATAGGTGAGTCTAGAGGACTCTGGGGAGCAGTAAGCAAGGCAGGCTGATTGGTGCCCTGAACACAGATAAGATTGGAAAAGTAGCCTGGGATCATGATGTAATTTAGGATGAAATCCTGAATTTTATTTAATTCAGAAGGCAGTGAAAAACTATTAGAAGGTGTGATCTGTGAAATTATAGGATTGGAGGTTTAGGCCCAGGGCCTCATTAGAAGAACCTTCTCCTCAGAAGTTTTAATTTATTTTCCAGAAAGAGACATTCTCACCAAATGAAGTACCATTTTGACAGTGGTGAAACTCATATTTTCTTGGTAATAAGACTTCCACAGTTTGATCACTATCCTGTAAAAATGAACTGTTTTCCTTATTTTTTTCCCTAAAGAAGTGAATTACCTTATGCTTGTCCTCTTCCAGAAAATCTTTTAAATGCCATGAAATAAAGAAAAAAATGAATATGAAAAGCAGCCTATTAAATAGAGAAGTTACAAGGCAATATGAATCTGAGGGGTACATGACAAAACAGAGAAGAATTTTTCTTTGGTTTAGAAACAAAAAAACAGGATTGAAGGAGATTTAGGAACTAATAGCATGCGTCTATGTGGACCAGTTCTTTCTATCACAGTCTTCTGTGGCTCTCCACACATATGTCAGCAATGCAGAAGCCCTCCAAAGGCATGGCCAAGGGCACTCACCAAGTTGTTCTCTGTGCCATGGTTAGCTCTAAGTCTATAACATCGAAACATATTCATAAATGTGTTGTGTTTGTTTTTAAAACATATTAAAAAGAATCACCACAGAAAAGCTGATGCTTTTGATGAACAAAATCTTTTCTGTGGGAATAAATGATGGGTCTGGCTGGTTTTACTCAAAACATATTCCAGTGGCACCTGCATCTGAACAGGGGCTGCTCCTCTAAATGTAGGTACCAGGCCACCCTCCAGACCAGAAAATCAGAATCTCTGAGTGTAAGGCCTGGTGATCTGAACTTTTATAAACTTCCTAGGTGATTTGTATATATGCTAGGCTTTTGAATCTCTGGTCACCTGGAAGGATACCAAAACAAAACAGAACTGGTTGCCTAAAGGAGAGAGGTGGGAGGTAAGACTTTTTTCATTATAACCTCTTTTGTGCCTCTTGAATTCTAAACTTTTTCACAAACAAGACTCACGAAAAATGAGCATCATATTTATATTCGCACCTCTACAGAAGCAATCAGAGCATCTGGCAGTAGGATAAGAAAGTTGGTGGATCTGAACTAAGCAGCATGATCATAAATGGCATGCGTGTGTGCTAAGTCATTTCATGGGCTATAGCCTACCAGGGTCCTCTGTCTTTGGGTTCACTAGGCAAGAATACTGGAGTGGGTTGCCATGCCCTCCTTCAGGGGATCTTCCTGACCCAAGGATCAAACCCCATCTCTTTCGTCTCCTGCATTGGCACCCGATTTCTTTAACCACTGGTGCCAGCTGGGAAGCCCCATAAATGGCATAGTTTATAACAAATATAAGTATTAATAACATACTTTGTTTTCATCAAAATTTCGTCTCCCCTCCTCCTGACTTTCTCAAAACAGAGGAATTATTGCATTGCCTACTGTGTTTGCACCAGGACCTATGTTTTGTTCCTAATTCTTCTTGGTAGTAGTTCATTCATCTCTTCTGCCTGGAACTTATCTGAGTCACATGGTTGAGGCTGAAAAGTGCAGATAAAACTTCCCATTTCTTTCTCTTAGTCACTCTTTTACAACTGGTAACTGTTTCCTTTCTCATAAATGCCAGGATATATGATGTTTGGCATTCACCTTTTGCCTTTACAGAAAAAAAATTATATATAAGTATCTTGCCATACAAATCTATGTTAATCGGGCTAAAATTGTTTTCAGCTGTTAATCGGATAGACTTTATACCTTTGGTAATTTCCAGTGATTTGAATTTTAAGCAGCTAGTCTTTTGAGTAACAACGAGAATCGCTTGCAGTGTGCTTACAGCAAAAACTGTTACAGAAATGCAGTTGCAACTTCCTTTGACATTTTCCTTCTCATTGGATTCTGTATCTATAGTAAAGATAACTTATTTTGATACATTCAATACTTGTTTAAAGCAAAACAAACAAAACCCCTCAGTTCTGAAAGCTCTTAAAATTATAAAACCATCTTCTTTAGGAAAAGATTAACATCTACTTTCCCTGAAATGGCACCCTTCTCAAACTCCTTCATTTCTATTCTATGCAGACATTGCTGTCAGGTAAGGGATTGCCAAGAAGTAAAGAGATAGTAGAGTTGTCACAGATCAGGACAAAAGAAGAAATACTATTTGGAAAGCAAGCTAATTTTTGACCAAAACCTTCTCCTTATATATCTGTTCTCACCTGTCCTGTTGCTTGTTGTGCATACCTTCCTAACTAAAAAATAGTAAAGAAAATTTGGAGAGGCTACATGTTCATCAAAAAAGATATATACAACAGTATATGTGGCAAGAATACTATGATTCACTTCCTAGAAGAGAGTTTAAAAAGAAATTGAGATGCTTTATGTCCTGACCAATTATATTCTTTTTATGGAGCACAAAACAAATCCCAGGCTTGAGTCCAAAGCCTAGAATAATGTCATGAGATGACAATCCTTACAAAACCACCACTCTGACACCGTCCTTTTGCTAATGGTACACTTTGCATTGTGTTAAAGTAGACATACAAAAATCGAATTGAAACTTAGGAAACTTTCAATTAGGAAAGGTTCACTGGTTGGAGGTTAAGTAGCTTTTGTTTTACAGGATTAAGTTCAACACCTTATAAGTATAACCTTAATTCTTGCCCATCAGGTTCAGTTTCAGCAAAAGCAATGCCAACAACCAGCTCATACTCACTTTGGGTCACTTCTGTTTTTACCAGAAAAAAATAGTATTTTTTTACTTTCTGCACTCATACAAGTAAAAATGTGACACTATGCTTTAAATGTCACAGCATAAAATGCCTTCCAGTGTTGAAAAATAAATTCAAAGGGATGTCAAATGCACTTGTATCAAAAGGTCACACAGAATCTCTGTTTTTCATTTTCTGTTCAATGCAGATATTGTTCAAGTAAAATGCAGACACAGTTTTTTTGATAAATTTTTCATAAAAATAAAGCAATAAATTTGAATAGTGGCTAGCTTGGTTAACATATATATTTTTTACATTGTATGAAAAAATTAGTAGAAAGGCAACATGAAGTATTTTGCCATTGTTATTGTGCTACAATGAAAAATGTGGCATATAAAACAAATAACGAAAGACTGCGTGTAATAGATATTAGAAAAGAACTTCCAAACTTAAGAATGATTTTATTAAGTCTCTCAATAGCCTACTGTTTTGATGAATTTTGAAGGAAGAAACGAGGGGGTGAGAAAAGTCAAACAATTGAAACTACTAAAAAAAAAAATCATAATAACCAGAAGGTTAAAGTCTCGTTTTTCCCAAATACCCTAAATGGTAAAAATCTCACCAACCAACTCCACAAGTTCATCGGTGTGCTGGTAGCTATTTAAAATCACCCTGGAAGTATTTTTGTCTGTAAAAGTTCTAAGATTTAAAATACAATCAGGCAGCATGAATAGAAACACAAACATCCTTAATCATACTTGAAATTTTTCATGTTAAAGTCTGTGTGATTTGTTCAATAGAATATAGGATATCACTGTTTCCTTTTATTCATAGTTATAAGTAACTATATTTCTCTGATTCTCTGTATCAAAATTTTCATCACTACCACTTTACCTCAGTAAATTTTCTTAAATATTTCTGTCTCTTAATGAATGAAGCTATTATGTTCATTATTATGATGATTAAAGTAACTATTATGACTATTCATTCATATGACATTATATATTTCAGGAGCATACTGTTAGCACATGAATTATTTTTATGATCTTTTTATAGCAGCATAAATGTCACAGTGGTTCTCATTGCCATTGAAAATCTCATGCAGATTTCCATTTGTCAACACTAACCAAAACCACTATTTGCTTAAACTTATTACTTAAAGTAATAACTATAAAAATGCCCTTTCTACATTCCTTACCAATTTAATTAATCCTACAGAATTCAAATTTATTTCATTATAAAAAGTTCCCCATGTTTGCTATAATTTTTTTTTCAATTTATGGATTTGATCTAGGACACCCGCTTGCATAGGAAGAATTTATCTATTGAAGAATTAAAAATTTTTCTTCAGGGTATTTGATACTGGAAATAGTAGACTCAATAAATATGGAAAGACTTTCAGAGTATTATGAATGGAAAATAGTTGATAGTTATCTTAGTAAAACTTTAGTTGCTGGTCTTTTGTCATTATGGCCTCTGATAAATACATATCAGAGGATTTTCAGCTAATGCTAATAATGACAGCTCATTGATGATTTATGTCCATTAACTTTATGTACTATGTTACAAACCAAATTAAGTTGACTGATATTACAAAATCCCACCCTCCTACTACCTCAAATTATGAATAGTTCACATATCAGAAAGCCATTATGTGTGAACATCCAGGACATGTTATTCAGCACTGGTCTAGTTGCACCAACAGGGGCTTTGGCAGCTGGACTCATTTTTTGTTATGAAATACATTAAAACCTCAGAAAAATGCTCACCAAGTCTTACTAATAACACATCCTCTGTAGTGCATTAATATAGTGAGAATATCTGAGATATGTCCAAAATTCCAAAACATTTCACGAACTGAAATCCTATGCAAAGAGTTCTTTAGACATGCATTGCTATGGCTGCACTGCCCCCTAGGGTGAAAATAACTTGTGTTTACGCTGAAGTTCATTTGCCTTTTTCAGATCAGCATTTTCATGACCCATTTGTCTAACTATGGGAATGACCGGCTGGGATTATACACGTTCGTCAACCTGGCCAACTTCGTGCAGAGCTGGACCAACCTGAGACTTCAGACTCTGCCTCCAGTGCAGTTGGCTCACAAGTATTTTGAGCTCTTTCCTGATCAAAAAGACCCTCTATGGCAGGTAAGACTGGGTCAATAATTGGTATCATTAATTAATCCCACAAACATATGTTCTGTGAGTTACTACAACTCTAAAAAGTGAAGGCATTGGGGGGAAAAAATAATGTACATTTTGGAAATGTTAGTAGATTTGAGAAGTTTCATAGTGGGCCAGATTCTCTGTTCCCAGGTCCTTTAGAAACTATGAATGCTGAAAGCTCAGTGAGAGGATCAGTGGATGTCATATTTTCAATCAGAAGTGAGGGATCAGTTTGCAGATTGCAGCAAGTTGACAGAACATAAGATGGTTTTAGACATGTGTTAGGCAGGGAGTCAGCCTTGAACATATCCGTATACCTCTCGTGACTAAACAACATTAAAGGGGTAGGTGAGAAGAATTCAGAACTGCTATCTGCCTCTGAACCACAGGGTCACCAACAAGTTGCAGAATATAGGCAAAAGCATTAGTCAGGTATTACTCTGGACATGGGGGAAATGTTTAGTGGCAAAATCACTGAGCTTCTTAAGAGAAAATATCACGTAAATATGGCATATTCAAACGGCTCCAGACATAACCCAGATTTCAAAGCTTACACTCGACCTGTCCTAGAATTACAGAAACATACTTTGAGCTTAAACTGCCCGCCCCATGACCTGGGGAAAGTAATAATCTTAGCAAGTAGCTACATAGTGCCTGTTATATGTCTGACTGAGTTCTTTATGTATGTCCATCCATTCAGTCTTCACAGCTACCCTATGAGGTGTAGGTATTACCCCCATCTTACAGATAAAGAAACGGGGGCAACACAGAAAGACTGAGACATTTAAGCAAAGGCATACAGCTCTTGTGTGACAGAATGGTAGTGAATTCTGGGCCACCTGGCTCCAGACACTTCACTCTGAATCACTGTTTCTAAATGAGAATTACCAACAGAGCTGATGGTATAATAATAACGATCTTCAGAAGTTGTTGTTGTTTAGAAGTAGAACTCAGTAAATTTCACACATTGAAGTTTCTGTAAGCTCTGCACTTATATTCTATTCATGTGTCTGTGAGCTTGAGCTAATTGCCTCATAGGCACAAACAGATAACCCCAAGAAGATATATAACTACATATTTTAGAAGGTTAGGGTTGGTGGTTGTAGAATTATCACTGCATACTATTTGGCAGTTAAAAGTTTTAAAACATCCGTCTTTTTATCTTAACCATTACAGAAATCACCAAGTGTCAGCTGCTGGAAAGATATGAAACTTTCCTGCTAATTTAACACCTTATTTTAAAATTGAAATAATTATTATTTCAGGTGAAACCACTTTTTTCCTAGAACAAGAGCCAAAAAAAAAAAAAATACCCTCACCTTAGTCTTAAAATCTGTTGTTTATGCTAAATAAGCAGATGTGTTTAACTACACATGTAGTATTAATTGAACAGAAATAGAGCGCTGTCCCATTTGCCTATTCCTGAAAAGTATTAAAAGTGCTGTAACTGTTTATGTAATATGCAGCTAGCGGTTAAAATTAAGGATGTTCTAGATGCAGTTTGCACAGTGAGTTTGGTTTAAGTACTATTATCCAAAAGCAGATTCCCTAAGGTAGTAATTCACCCTCATTTTACCCTTTTGCTGAAGTTTAGTGCTTTTTAGCATCATAGTTTATAAAGTTATAGTTTTAGACATACATTTACTGACCTCTGAAAGCAGCTGAAAGGAATCTGCTGTCCCTTTAAACAGTATTATTATGACCAGATCCATCTCCTTTTGAAGCACAGCAGGAAAGCTCGAAGTTACTTAGAATAAAAATCTGATACCTTATATATTTCAGTGCTGAGAGTGTATCCTCTTCTAGGTTAGCAGTGCAAGCAAGCCCAGCCTCTGCCCAACAAGCTCACTGTTTTAAAACTTAAACCACACACACTCACACAATTAAAACACAGAACTGCCAACAGCAGAAAAAAATAATTAAACCCTCAGTGCTATGAAGCTGTTTACCCATAATGGAAATGCCTCCCTTCCCTCACCTCCTCAGTCAACACTCACCTTCAGGATGGAAAAGGACTTATTTGAAATCCTCCATGGATGCCACTTTATGACTTTCGTTTAAAAGAGGGAGCCACCATAGCCTTGTTTCTGGGGATATCTTTTCAATGACAGAAGCTGAAAAACTCTAGCACACAATGGGCAGCCACAAAAAATACACACCTCTGTTTTTTCTCCTGATTAGAATCCTTGTGATGACAAACGCCACAGAGACATTTGGTCTAAAGAAAAAACCTGTGATCGCTTACCAAAATTCTTGGTAATAGGACCCCAGAAAACTGGTGAGAACTTTTTATGTTATAATCAACATGTATAAAAATCCTGATGACTAGACAGTGAATTCTTGCCACAATGACTTCTCAAACTCCGTATAAACACTGATGAATGGATGACATTTTATTCTCTTTGTTGAGCTGAATGTTTCTTCAAGTAAAATGGATGCAGATAGATATTACATAGTTGTAATATCCAAGAATCAATTTGGTGGCGAAGTTACTTTTTTCCCAAAGATCCTAATTGAAAATTGCTGTTATTAACATTTCTAAAATCAAAACTAATCATGTGTTTGAAGAGTGACTTACAAGCTTTCATCAAATTTCAAGATGGACACATATAAATCTTCCAGAAATTTAGTCTTTTCCTGACATCTTCCTGATACAGTTTATTTCTAAACTCTTGCAGAAATGACTATTTTCCAAAAGTTTATAAAGGATGTTTGACAAGCAGAATTCATAAGCATAAACAAAACTTTGTGTTACTTTGTGTTAAGAAAGATATTTATTCATACCCAGAAGAAATCTCTGGCACCTTTTTTTAAGTTGGTGTGCAATTTTTCCCATAAACTTCTTGTTTCTGTAAGAAACAGTATTAAAATGAAGCCCAATGGAAGCTTTAAAAATGCCAGACATTCAAGCTGTATCCTGCATGATAAATTATTTGAGGCTGTTCGTTTCTAACTTTACAGAAAACAGCCATTTCACATCCCTTCTAAGGGGAATAAATTTCCTTTTCTTATTTCTCTAGAAATAACTTGGGAGAATTCTACGTAATATACACAGTTAAGTTAACCTACTCATTTTCTCTTAGTCCCATTTACAAATATCAATCTGAAAACAATAATAAATACGACACGTACTTCTCTTATCCTTATTTATCTCACTTGTCCTTATTTACAGTCAAGAAGCAACTAGAAAGACATTTAAACTAAAGTTTCTTTAGCGAACTCCCACTATCATCACGTAGCTTTATCATTAACGGTCGCATCTTCTCTCGGAAGCTCGGCAGATCAAGTATGCTTCGGAAAGCCCTGCAGGGTATACCTCCTCTTGCGTTGCGCTAGATATACAGACATTTTAATATCATGGTTAGATAGCAGAATTATTACTTGTCATCTTCAGCTCAATTGGGTTTCCAAATGTTTATGTTACAATTTGTATATGACATTTACCTTTGGAAGGGAATTTCTAAATCCTTTTTATAGAAATTGAAATTTTCCCAGTCTTATAGGGATATAATTTACATACAATAAAATTCACCAACTTTAAATGCATAGTTTTATGAATCTTGGAAATTGTACACAGTGGTGTAACCACTACAACATTTAAGATTTAGAACACTTCTGTCTCCCTAAAAAGTTTCTCCACATCTTTTTTCTAGTCAGTTTTCCTTCCCCAATCCTCAGTCACAGAAAACCACCTTCTAGCACTGCAGCTTTGGCTTTTCTAGAATTTCACATAAATGGAAATATAAAGTATCTTTTGTGTTGGACTTCTTTCACTTAGCACATTGCTTTTGAGATTCATCCATATTGTACCTATTGATATTTTATGAGAATATTTTTTAAGTGGACAGACATAGCTTCTTATATCAGTTCCATAAAAATTAGCTTTATTTTTAATCTTTAGTTTTGCCAAAAGTATTTTTCTGAATAATTTTGCATAAACGTATAGTCATCTGGATATTCAAATATTTTTAGTGTTGAAACTAACAAAAACAGAAAACCTGAAGCTTTTTTTTTGAATTTTTGAATTCTTATTTTTGCGTCTATGATTATGTTGTTGAAATACAACATACACACACACACACACACACACACACACACACACGACAGCTTATTCAGACCCAAGAATATGAGTAGGTAAAGACAGAATTCAGAAACCACAACTTAATTTTTTTACCACTGATAAATTACAGTGTGCCTTTTACTGACTAGGTAGATAATTAGATTGTATTCATTTTTTTTTGCTTGTCTTATTAATGCTTATCATGCTATTAAAAGTAATATGATGCAATACAATTCTTAAAAATAAAATTCAGAAAAGAATTTTATCAGATGAACTCAGAAAGGATTAACCTGTTTTCTTCTTTCATATTGTAATAGCTATTCTTTTTGTCTTTACAAACACTATATTCTTTTCAATTTTTTAAAATGCATTAGTGAATTTTAGCTCACAAAATGTTATTTTTTTAAATACCTTACAATATTCAGATATCGAAGTTTTTAACTATTTTTAAATAGATTACCTCACTTGACCCTCATAAAGCCGTGACAGCTAAGTATTTTCTTCCCCACTACACAGATAAGAAAACTAAGACTCAGGTCATATCATTTTTGTTCAAGTTCAAACAGCTGGTAAGTGCTAGAAATAAAACTCTTGATCTTAGAAGTTATCAGACTCTGAGGTATTATGCTCTAGAAAGCTTTACTATGTATTTCAAGTAATTGAACATTTTTTCTCCCAACAAGTTTTAGATTTTGTCCCATATTTCTTGTAAGTCAATGATTCTTGAAGTGTGCTGAATCAGAAACTCGGGGATCAGGCCCAGCTCTCTGTTTTAAAAGCCCTCTAGGTGAAGCTGGGGCTTCCCCAATAGCTCAGTTGGTAAAGAATCTGCCTGCAATGAAGGAGCCCTGGTTTGATTCCTGGGTCAGGATCCAGGGATCCCCTGGAGAAGGGATAGGCTACCCACTCCAGTATTCTGGCCTGGAGAGTTCCAGGTCACAGAGGCGGACACGACTGAGTGACTTTGACTTTCACTTCAGGTGAACCTGATGCATGCTAAAGTTCAAGAACCACTGTTTTAAATCGAGTTTGTGAAGATCATTTTTACCTTGTATAGCATAGATTACTGTGTTTCATTCCCTATAGTTATCTATGATTATAGATAAAATGTTCATTGTTTGGTTCAGATAAAATCTAGGAACACTGCCTCTTCCAACTCGTTGTTTTAGACAATATTGCTGTTGACAAGAGTTATTTTAACAAATCTATATGGGTGCCTATGATATGCCACCCTCTTTCCAAAAATGCAAATTGTGTTATTTCACCAAGAAAAGGCACCGATTTTTTTTTCAAATTTAGCAATTTAAACAATTTTACACTACTTTATATAGGTATGTAAGTACATTCAAACTTAAACAAACTGGTTAAACGTTTTCATTCTGTCTCAAATTAATAAGCTTCATAGGCCTTGGGAGGAACTTTATAGGGGAACCCAAGTATTAATAATATAATATGTTAAATAATGATGTCTTCATTTACATGGTACTTTATTAATATCAAAATATCTTCAGGCACAATATGTCTTTTTGTCCTCAGAGAAAGCCTAACAAATGATTAAGGCAGGTGATTTTGGCAAAAAGCCAAAGTTAATGACTAAACTGAGTCCAAAAGCCTGTTCTTGCTGTTCTTACAGCAGGCCTTTTCTCACCTAACACTGTCCTCATTTTTTAGAATTCGTTTCTTAAGATGCTGGTTATCTATTCAATTTAATTCAAGGGTTACTTATATGCTTGATCTGTTTGGATCATTGTAATACAGTTTATTAACAACTCAAATGCTAATAGTAGGAAACTGTTTTCATTCAATTAATCTCTGAACCTCTATTGTCTTTTCAGGAACCACTGCTTTGTATTTGTTCCTGGTTATGCATCCTTCCATCCTTAGTAACTCCCCCAGCCCAAAAACCTTTGAGGAGGTACAGTTCTTTAATAGAAATAACTACCACAGGGGGATTGATTGGTAAGATGGGTTATTAGTATAAATCTAAAAGTATATGTACTGTGCACAGTATTAAATTAGTGTTTATAATCAACATTTAAGTCTGTTAGCTACAAATAGTAATTATCTCTGTGCCTTGATTAAATAACATGAAGGAGCAGAGAAATTACTCATAACAAACTTTTCTCAGTTTATGAAGGGATTTGTCACCTCAAAAGACTCATGTGTAATTTTAATTTGCATTAATTATCTCTGATGGTAATTACAAATAAAAAGAGAAATACCTAATATACAAGAATTTCATTTTTTTCTACTCTTAAGAAAACACTTTCATAATTTTTTGTTCTAATGTACTTTGCATTAAAGTGATGCTACAGTTCACATATAATATACTATTTTACTTTGGTACAAAAGGTAAATAAATAAAGTTAGACATGTGTATGCATTTCATGAGTAATGAAAGCTATTTTAAAAAGCTATCAACAATATACAAAATTTAATTTTGGGCCTTTGAAACTAGAACCATATCAGCCATCTGAGGAAAAGAGTTAATTAAAACTAAAACTTAAAATGTCTACTATACAAAAAATACGTAATGCAGGAGGAATAGGTGTTACAAACAAACGAGTTAATCCTAAAATATATCTAGAAGTCTTTCTTTTAATGTACAAATTTGTGCAGAAAGTAGTGTAAAAGTAAATTCTTATGTTCATAGAGCATGAACATAAACATTTTGTGTGTCATTTAGCATACAGCTGTTATATATCAACTTCTGTTGTCAGGTTGCATGATCTCTATTTTATATGTATCAGTGCCCTCAAGGTTTGCTTGTGAGCAGTCCAAACGGAAAGCTAAATGGATTGAGTATAAGCTGAGCTCCTACTAGGATTTATATATATTCTAATTATTATATATTTTCTTGCCAATTCTTCAGCACACTGGTTGATACTGATTAATTACGTAGTATTAGATAATAGCTGTGAGAGTCAAGGATCCATCAACTACTTCAGCTGCTGTTTTCCCACTGACTCAAATAAATATGCTTGCATGTAGTAGAATAAAAAATTTAGTCCTTGTTTACATCAAGATTAAAGGGGTTGATTAAAAACTGCTTTGGAAGTAGAGGAATGCAATAATACTTAGATTCCCTGGGACTTAAGAATATCTGTGAGAATACTCAATTTTTTTAAGAAAAAAGCTGTTCCTAACACAGTAATGTGTATAGGGACCATAACAGAAATGGACGGTCCCTTAAGTGGTCTCCAAAGAGATGGCATAAATAAGTAGAAAATGAAAGAGCAATTAAAGATTTTAATGATAACTTGCTAAAAATACCCCAATTGTAAACACTTTTGATTGACAAATTATGTGTTTATAAAAGGCAACTAATACAAATAACAACAACTGTAAATATCATCTATTAGAAATAACTAGAGCTTTGCTCTCAAGGACAGCAAACGTACTCAGTGCTTAGACTGGCCTTGCCTCTCCCTGAGGTGCCTCAGCAGTCCCTCTAAGACAACAGAGCCACGAGGTTGAAGTCTGTGTGTCTCAGCGTGCCAAGGTCACTTACAGAATTAGCCCAGGCACAGTTAATTAATCTGGAGACATGGATCTGTTCTTTCTGGAGAACTGGGCAAAACCAGGGCTTCTAACAGGCAACCTAAACACAGGCTTAGGGCACAAGCAAAGTAGGGCAAATTAAAATGAGAAAACTCCATCTTTGATAAAAATAGCCAAGATTTGCAATCAGAATTTCTAAGAAAAATGTTTGATGTAGGCATACAGTTAAGTTTTATATTCTACAGTTTGATATTATTTTTTTATTATCACTTAAGGAGGCAGTGGATGGTTGGAGCAGCACGTGGAGGGTCGTACAACCCTGCTAACATTTAGAAACCCTAAACATCTTAATCTGGCTCTGAGTAAAAGCACTTAGAAAATACCCAGAAACAAATAAATGTGGAGTGTTGCAAAATTTACATCTTTTAATTTTTAAAAAAAGTGCTGAGCTGTCATGGGAGTAACAAAGCTTAAATGAGGCAGGCATTCACATTTAACCCCCAAATTATTAAACTACTCTACTTTGCTCACCAATTCTTTGAATAACCTGCATTCACATTCTCCAAATGTGGACCTGTTTCCACCCTGGAAATATGAAGCTGAATTCTTCACCACCTTGTGTATTCAGCACACACTTTTCAAGTGCCCATAAGTACCAGCCAGTATATTAGAAAAATGTGGGCACATAAGCAAACAAGAACTGGCCCCTGCTTTTTCCATGAGCCTCTGGAGTCAGACAAAATCAATACATTTTCGGTCCAAGATCCACAACTGCCTGAGGACGATTTCAGGGCCTAAAGTGTCTAGGTATAGAGGACTACCAGGAAGGTGGGACAGCTTTCAGAAGTCAAAAGTTATCTGAATTCAGTACCTCCTGCCCTTCTTTTGTGATTTTTGGACCCTTTCTCAGAATAAGCAAGCTCGGACCAAATAAGATACCACTAAGACACCTGATATGACCTTAGCACCCCTGGAACAAGCGTGGGCATCTAAATTAAAAAGTGTCCTAAAATGTGGCACCTTCTATTAATAGAGTGTATACCAGAACAGATAGCAGATCAAACTTTCCAGAAATGTTTACATGTCTTTACCCCTAAAAGAAAGGAATCCCAGCATGACACATGACCAACAAAGCAATTTCCAGAAAAACTTAAGATGATTGCCGTGCTGCGCTGAGTCTGAAGACATCACTCTGTTGCGCCAGCCAGATTATGTAATATGGTAACAACTGGAATCCTGCTAGGAGCTTTATTGTGCGAATGGAAGAAAACAACACACTGCAAAAAGAACTCACCACATAAACGTTAATGGCTCTCTTTTTCAGTCATTATTGAACTACCTTGTCTTGGTAGCTCAAAATCATTGCAGCTTATCATTTAGAGACGCTGTGGGTCTGGAGGGTGAGGCCTTTATTAGAAAATGTAAGAAACCCTAAACGTTAAATTTGCATGTTGTTCCTAAAAAGGCCCTTTGCCTTTAAAAGATGTTCTTTGATGCTTCAGAAATACCCATCATCATATGCTTGAATTCACTTCTATTTGACATTTTGTGCAAATGGCACATTATACAAATTCCATTACGTCCTACGTTTCTGTGCTTCAGGCTACAGGTAGGTATTCCTGTCTTCACTGCTGGTGACAAATCTCACCCCAATTTAAGGACACAGAACCTGACCTTAGAAAATTTGATAGTATTTCATATCTGGAAATATGTACTATTTAAACTTCTATAATTATTCTAAACAATATAAACAGCTCTTTATGTGAAAAAATAAGCAAACAGGCAGTGTTTTCACACCACATCTATTCTGCCCTTTGACACATTATAGTTGAATGTAAGGGCAACACACTGGTGGGAATGAAATTATTTTTACTTGTGATGAAGTAAAAAATGTTTTGTCTAAGTCTGTTTAAAATGCCTTTGAACTGAACACACTATTTGTTTTGATCCAGTTTTCTTTTTGGTTGAGCACTCATATTTGTCTGGCTCCAGAGGCTCATGCAGTAAAATATGTCTGCTTTTAGATACATCTTATACAGTTAGGTTGATTATTGCCACTCGATCCCTTTGTATCTACATTTTTGTTATTTCCCATACCTTTTTATTGATATTAAGTAGACTACAAAGAAAATGTATTTAGAAAAGCATTTTGAAAATACACTATTAGTGTTCTGTATGTTTTTTCCTTGCTAACAGGCTTGTGGGACAAATGCCTTTAAAAAAAAAAAAAAGGCTTTTTTTTTTAAGGAAACAAATTAATTTTGTTTGTGGGACACCTTTAACATCTTTCACTAACCAGGGTATGAGTATAAACCAGAGTTTCATTTTGAGAAATATTCCCTTTTAGGTATATGGATTTCTTCCCAGTCCCATCTAATGTTACCACTGATTTTCTGTTTGAGAAGAGTGCCAACTACTTCCACTCAGAGGAAGCTCCTAAAAGGGCGGCTTCTTTGGTCCCCAAAGCCAAGATCATCACCATTCTCATTGATCCATCAGACCGAGCATATTCCTGGTACCAGGTAAGGAAAATACTGACAAAACCCAGCAAGTAGAGGAGGAGTTTAGGGAAGGGAAGGTGGTTTTCAGTAATAGTCACCACTTTGGGTTTTAACAAAAAAGATTTGTTAGCTTTATATCTTCAAGAAAGTAAATAAATTTCTCTTTGCTTCCATAGAGAAATGTTCCCTTTAGTTTTTATTAATTTTGCATTCATTTGATTAATTTAATAAAATGTATTAATAAGAAATTAAAGCAAACAAAATATTATTAATGTGTGCTTCTATATATCTGTATTTTAAAAGTAAAATGGAAACACAAATGTACAGAACAGACTTTGGACTCTGTGGGAGAAGGCAAGGGTGGGATGTTTTGAGAGAATAGCATTGAAACAAGTATGCTATCAAGGGTGAAACAGATCATTAGCCCAGGTTGGATGCATGAGACAAGTGTTCAGGGCTGGTGCACTGGGAAAACCCAGAGGGATGGGATGGAGAGGGAGGTGGGAGCGGGGATCAGGATGGGGAACACATGTAAATCCATGGCTGATTCATGTCCATGTATGGCAAAAAACACTACAATATTGTAAAGTAATTAGCTTACAACTAATAAAAATAAATGGAAAGAAAAAAATAAAAGTAAAATGTTATAATTTAAAATCATTCTTTTTCATCTAATATGTATATAATGCTATTATTATCTCAGTTTTACAGATAAGAAATATACCTGATTCCACCGAAGCAGAAGTCAGAGGTTTTGTTCTGTAAAGGTCCAGAGAGTAAATATTTCAGGCTTTGCAGGCCATATGATTGCAACTCAGCCATTGTATTGCAGAAGCAGCCATAGACAATATGTAAATTAATGAGCCTAACTGTGTTCCAGTAAAACTTTACAGAAACAAATAACAAGCAAAATTTAGTCCATGGACCATAGATTGATGACCCTGACTCTGAAAGGGCTTAAATAACTGCTTGTATTGAAAAAATAACCTAGCAGCAAAAGAGAATATATGAATTCTTCATCCTTAAAAGCCCAGCCAGTGTCCCCTGTTTTAAGCCTCTTTCTCACATAAACACTGCCATTATGATGTTGGTTAGAACCTAGCACAGAAATGATTAGTTTGAAAGAATTTTAACAAATTCTAATAATAAAACTTATATGCCATACATTTTTACCTGAATAAATATTAAAAATAATAGGGAAAAAACTGTCTCAGTGATATTTTATTAATCACCAAATGGAAAAAGTTTAATAAAAAACAGCAATATTAAATATAAGAGCATAACAAAATTAATAGAGTCAGTATCTTTAATCTCTATTATTCTTAGTTAGGAGCTTCCCAGGTGGTACTAGTGGTGACGAACCCACCTCCAAATGCAGGAGACATAATGAAACATGGGTTTGATCCCTGGGTCAGGAAGGTCCCCTGACCTTCCCCTTCCGGAGGAGGGCATGGCAACCCACTCCAGTGTTCTTGCCTGGGAGAAGCCCAGGGACAGAGGAGCCTGGTGGGCTGCCATCTATGGGGTCGCACAGATTCGGACACGACTGAAGTGACTCAGCAGCAGCAGCGGCGGTAGCAGTGACGTAGCATAGCACAGCATCCTTAGTTACCATTCTTCAGTTCTGTGATTTAAAAACCACTCTCCTGATGTTCATGTGTTCATCCCTTCATTAAATACTTTTAACGACTACCACGTGCAAAGTATTGTTCTAAGTATGATTTGAAAGTAAATTAACAAATGTGGATGCTACACTTGAGACTGCTTTCAGTCTAATTGGAGAAATATGTTTAAGTAACCAGTGTATAAATCAGGAAGTATTAAGTGACAGATAGACTCCTACAGAGTAATAAAGCCTATCTGATAAAGATCACCAGGGACAACAAGTTAGGTGTATTAATTGGCTGCATCGGAGGAGCCTGAACACTTGAAGAACTATCAGGCATTTCCCTAGAGGAGGAGGATTTGTATGAGAGGGAGAAATGTAAGTAAAATTAACATGAACTGTTTGATAGGTGCAAGCAGGGCCAGGGCTGAAAAACAGACTAAGAGACTTACTTCCTTAGAAACTCTAAAGTTAAGATAAACATAGAATGTTATATCCAAAAATCCTTTATCTGAAACTCTGTACCTGAGCTGGAAATAAGGCTGCTTCTCTGAATTAAAGTGACCCAAAAAGCTCTGATCCTCCAGGCAAGACTGGATGCTGCATTCTCACTGATCTCATATATCTAAATTTCTGACAATCTATGATATTAGAGAACAAAGTTACTCAGCATAGAGTCCTTTTTTTAAACAAAAGCCATTTTTCCAGGTTCACTAAAGAAAGAACAGATTATTAGGAAAGGCTTCATGGCTGGGACAGACTAGGAAAAGGTCATGGGATCTTAACAGGCATATTGATAATAATCTGTGTAACAGGGAGTGAGACATCCTGGAAAAATGAAATCCACAATTCCACACAAATCAGTCATGCCCAACTCCTAGAACCATCCTTTAAACCAAAAATACAGCAAATTGACTGATTTGATCTTGCGCCTTTTACCTTAACCACTAGGTATCTGGAGAAAAAAGAAACACGCCTTAATTGACTCAAAGAGAAAGCAGAAAATTGGAGCTTGGCAACCACTTAGCCCCTGAAAAATGGAGAATTTGCTGAAAAAGGAAGCTTCAAGGCTGAAAGCTAGCAAAACATCCTAAATATTACAAATAAATCACTCCACAGTGGCAAAATGCAGGCCTTAACAAAGTCTAGTAGAGTTTGTAGTATAGTAATTTGAATCTCAATTGCAGCAAATTTGCTATTCAACTAGACGTGGTAAACATTCACAAACCCACCACTAAGCCTGAATATTTATTGGTCAATTTAGGGAAAAGGTGATTTCCTCAGACCCCTGGGCCTGAGCCTGAGCCATTATGAAGTGCTTTCCTTTTAGGATTGCTGCTGTCTGCATTTTCTATACAGTAAGTGGTTCTGATTCATCACAGAGGTTGCTATTAGGTAAAATAATCTTGGCTTTTAGATGCTGGAGTGTATATGATAAAAGCTGTGGATTTCAGATAATGCACATGTCAGAGTTTTCACCAGTTTCTCCACTTGAGTAGCCCATAGGGTTTTTCTCATCTAAAACTGCATTACTAGATGGAACAAAACTACGTGGCAGAACTGGCAGAGTGTTTTGTACATTATGGATATTAACTGGACATGATAAGTGGTTTCTTACGGGCTGAAGGGGGGGTGTTAAGGCGACTTTCAAAAGTTTACTTTCAGAATAAAATATATACACACACACTATGGAAATGATTCAGAAAAATTGGTTAAGAAATTATATCAAGAAGAATTCCGCCTATACAAAATAATTCTCAAAAATATACTCTCATCAGTGTCGTAATTTTAAAGCCTGATGCTCCAAGCATTTTCATCCTTTATTAATTGCAAAACAAATAACTCTCCCTCAGTGAGGCACTCCTTCCTTTAGCTTTGAGACTTGTCGCAGAGATTGGTTTTTAATTATTTATGCCTATGGTTCAAGTCAGTTTAATTATCTACCTTTTCATCATAGCATCAGCGATCACACGAAGACCCCGCAGCTCTGAGATTCAGTTTCTACGAAGTGATCTCAGCTGGGCCCCGTGCACCCTCTGAGCTGAGAGCCTTGCAGAAGAGATGTTTGGTCCCAGGGTGGTATGCCAGCCACATAGAGAGATGGCTTGTTTATTTCCCCCCCTTTCAGGTATTGAGCGATAAGAATCTTCATCATAGTACAGTCTCATTAAATCAATGACTTTGCCTTAGGGTATAGGACATTTTTACTCATTAAAACATGACTAGCATTTACTCTTTAGCTGTAATTGAGACTCTGGCAGACAATAACAGGCAGAGGTAGAAAAACGAATTCTCTTTCGAGAAGTATTTCAGGATAATTCTCCCTGCCCTCTTTTCTAGTGCATGCCTTTCCTGATCATTAACAGCTTTAGAAGCTCGATACTCCTGATTCTTATTCTGAGACTAAAGCTTGAGAACCTCTTAACCAAACAAGGCAAACACTGTTTGGCTCTCACTGCCATTATTTCCCTGTGAACCACCTTGCTGGATTTTTCACAAGTCCTGTGTTTCCCTTGGCGTCCTTGTTTCTCTCTTTTGCTCAGTGTTAGCCTAGATTACAAAACCAGCCCCTACACTGGATTGCATAAAGCAGTCTGACCACATCAGACACAGTGGATACCTTTGTGTCTAGAACCATGCTAACCACAATGATACCATACATGCAAGCATATATGGCTGTTTAAATTTCTATTGAAATTATATAAAATTAAAAACTGTTTCTCAGTGACATTAGCCACACTTCAGATGTTCAATAGCCATCAGTTAGATACCACAGCCCCACAGTATGTCCATCAACACAGAAATTTCTAATGAACAATGCTGGTGTAAACTTAATAGAAACACTGGAGAAGATGTGTGAGCAGGAATTGTTTTCCAGGCTTTATGGCCCTTCATCACCATCCCCTATCATTTATCTTGCTGGGACCACCCCCTACCCTCACCAGAGTAACAAGCAAATTCTTCCCTGTAGTCTGTTGAGGAACTTCTGTTTACTTTAAGGTTTTCTAGGAATCTTACCTTTTTCTCCAAATGGATTATCAAAGAATTTCTAAAAACTTTACAGTGCTGCTCCTTTGACTGGAATCATGGATAATGATACGTCCTGTGTCTCATGGTACCTGGTCCGGTCACTTTTCTTCTTTCCTACAAATCTCCTTCCCACCTTGAATCATGGAATCATTGCTTTATCTGTTTTTAAACTTGATTTTCATTTGTGATTTTATAGTCACCTTTCTTAAGCTTTCTTGGTACCCTCAAATTTTTTTGTTTTCATAGTGTTTGCAGGATGCCTCAAACTATAACACACGAATGCATTTAATTAGTGTGATTTATTTTTTGTTCCATGTCATTAATGAGGATGGCCTGGTTAAGTCTTAACAACAATGAATGCAAATCCCCTTAGTACAGTATCTTTCATGGAATAAATTCAAAGTGCAGAATTTTTGTATCATGCTGTTACATGTCTTTTTCCAATTTGCATTGTCTTTTTTTTTATTTCCTTGGTCACTTAGCTGCTAATTATTGATGGGCAACAGCTAAGAACTGATCCTGCTACAGTGATGGATGAAGTACAGAAGTTTCTAGGAGTCTCTCCTCATTATAATTACTCAGAAGCATTAACGTAAGTTTATAGTCTAATTAATTTATTGAAGTTTCAGCAGAGAACTGATTTTAGAGAAGTTGTAGTTTGGTGATGCAGCTATTGAGTTAGCTGCCCCTTATATACCGATTATTTTCCAGTTGAGTTAACCACTTGAGAAAGAACATGTCAACAGTTTGTCTATGAAATGTCCAAAATCCTCTATTGATTTCTAACTAGGGAAGTCTTCTCTGGAAGGAAAAGAGAGGAACAAAGAGTTTTAAGTCTTAAAAGCAACAACTAACCTTAAAAGCGGTTACTGAAACGATGCTGGAAGCACTAAGCCTATTTAACCAGACAGTACTGAGACTCTTGGAAGCATAAAAAGACCTCTTGAACCAGGTGATTTATGAACTCCTCTCCCTTTTGTGTAATTTATAAAACAAACATCACAGAGCAAGAAATAACCCATAGGTGGCTGAATAAGAGAGAGAGGTGCTATTATTACGCTTACACATACTTCCATTTTTTGGTCTTTACCCACTGTATGACTAACCTTGTCACCTCTTCTTCAGAGGCCTCAGCTGTTACAGCTCTGGTTTGGTTTTCTTTTGCTGGTTCCCACTGATTTTCTTAGGTAGTAAGTTCCATCAGGGTGGGAGCCAGGGTGACACAGGAAAAGCAACAAGGATTTAAGGACCCCATAGATACCTGAGAGTGAGTGGCCAAGGTACCTGCCTCTCTTGCCTCACTTTAATCCTGACTCTGGACTTGATCTAACATTTTAAATAAAACCTCCACCTGGCTTTGCCCATTTATGCTACTGTTGTTGCTGCTTAGTCACTTAGTCCAACTCCTTGTGAGTGTCCACCTCGTTACGACCCCACAGACTGTAGCCCACCAGGCTCCTCTGTCTGTCTTCTCCAGGCAAGAATACTAGAGTGGGTTGCCGTGCTTCCCTCCATGGGATCTTCCCGACCCAGGGATTGAACCCACGTCTCCTGCTTGGCAAGGCAGGTTCTTTACCACTGAGCTTCCTGGGAAGCCCAGCAATCAGGTGTGTGAGGGATGTGTTTCTTCCTATTTCATATGCAACTGGAACAAGCAAATGAGACAGCCTGAGTAGGATGAGCCGTGGACCTGGCTCTCACTGTAATATATATATCACATATATGTAATATAAAATGTTATATTATATAGATATATAATTTTATATCATACATATAATTTTGTATTTTATATATATGTAATATATATATAATTTTAGGGTTACAGACTGAGCCTTAAAGAAACCAATTAAGACTGTAGTATGGGACTCTACCATTCTATTTCTCAGTATAAAGCTCAGTTGTATAGATCAACTCATTTTCTCTTTTCATGGTATTCTTCATGCTGTAGCAGTTTAGAAAGTAACATACAGGATTCCTTTACTTTTCACCATCCCTTACAGTAAAAGGTTTGCAGACAACTTCAAATACTGCAAACATCTTGCACAAATCATATGTAGAGACACACATGTAAGAGAGATATTTTGATTCAGAGGACAAAGGAGTAGGTGGAACTCGAGAGTTTTGAGCTTCCTCTCTAAGAGTCGTTTACTCTGTTGTTCCTGTTAATCTTCTGACCTTCATCTTTTCTATAGTGTGAGTCCTATCAGAGCTTTGGTGAGCTTAGTTGAAGTACCAACACAGACACTAGCCTCAGGTATTTAACTTTCAGCTTGACCTTAAAGAAAATGGAGTGATTTTAGCTTCAGTTAGAAATTCGAGCCCACTTTCTGCTTTATGTCTTTTTAAGTATCTCTTAGAAAAGAAAGCTTTTATTTTCTAAACAGGTTTCTAACTCAAGTTGACTTATCTTTGGATCTTTTTTATAGAGTATATAGCAAAGCACTGCATTTCAGAAAGAAGAATGGGAGTATTTTATAAAGACATAATCTTTTTTTCTTATGGAATGGTCCTTGACCTCCATGCTGTGTATTTGTCCCCTTTGTATCCAGCTCAGCAGCAAGCTTTTTATTCACCTCCACTGCCAAGTAAAGGGAGTGTAAACTTAAGGGAAATAATACCAAAGCAAAATACTATATACAAAGAACTGTGGGTCACTTTGCACCTGGGATGTGTCTGACTAAAATTACCCCTTATATGGTCTGTAGCCTGGTTGGGGGCTCAGTGGGTGAAGTAGCAAGATAAGATGTGTGTAGTCTCTGAAACCACAATTTCTGGTCCAGTAGGGCTGCCCAAGCACTCACCCTGCTGATAAAGATAATGTACTGCCATTCAGCTTCTTTTCATATTCTCTTGTCAATCAGTTGGCCTGACACACGTTGGAAAAAACAGCAGTGTACCTGTTGTAGAATATTTGGAATTTCATGTCATTGACTTAGGTCTGAATTCTCCTTCACCCATGCCCTTTGCAGTTGTTCTGAATCCTGTCCTCAAAACTTACTTATTCTTGTTAGAATAACTGTACTGGTAAGTTGTTTCTCTGGTGCTTTGGACATGTTGGATATGACTGGGTATACAAAATTCATGTTCTCAGGGATGTCTTTAATTGCTTTATATTTTTCCTGCTCTTTGGTATTTACAAAATTATTTAAAGCCTTCTGATATTGTACTAAACTGCAAACAGATATGAATTCTCAACTAACGACATAAATTCAGTTCTTTGCACACAATACAATAAATCAATGAAACTAGGCCTCTGCAAAAGTTTTACCATACAATTTTGGCACGAAAGAGTACTCCAGTGTAAGAGATCTACAATCTCCTGGTTATCTTCAATATAAAAATGTTCCAGTTTCAAAATTATTTTCAAGAAAAATGGCAATAAATCTCCATCATTAAAAGTATTATTTATTCCATTCCACAGTCACTACAGAAGTGTTCAAGACTTCCAAATTTCATATAGTAATGGATGGTCGATATCTTAAAATGACTTAGTACTGTCATCATGGATTTTAGATGATATACTGAATACATAAAAATCTTATCTTCTTGGGACTTTCCTGGTTGTCCAGTGGTTAAGGCTTCATGCTTCCAATGAAGGGGGCACGGATTCAATCTCTGGTCAGGGAACTAATATCCCACAAGCTGTGCAGTGCAACCAAAAAAACCCAGTTTTTATAAATCAGATTTTCTTAGTGAGTGTGGTTGTTATCGGAAATAAGCAGTATAAGCTTTAAAAAATATGAATGGGAGTTTTCTCATTCAAATAAGTAATTCACATCTTACAAGTCTTGTTCATCATAACTGTAATCACTAAACTATAAATAGGATTGATATACCAACATTATTTTAGCTTGTATATTATGTGTTATGTAGAATTTAAGCTGTCTAATCATTTAAGAAAAAGCCGGAAAAACAATGCTCAATGTGGCATTGTGCTAAACTGAACTAGCACATACAGTTTATATATGTGTTAAATTAAACTAAAATAAATGAAAATGAAAGTTTTTTATAAACTTTATAAACTAAAATGAAAAGATGTAAACTTTTAATTTTCCCATGAATATATCCACTAACAATTATATCCAGGCATCAGTGACTGTGACAAGTCTTACTGAACCTGACATCTCTATTTCTCAGTTAACCTGTTCACTAACATGAATGAAACCAGACTGAGTTATATGAATTTTTAATAATAATTTACTATGAAAACTTCAATAAATGGACAGTAAGGATTTGAAGGCGAAGAGTTAAAGGAAGATTGTGCGTGTGTGTATTTTGTTCTATGGATGGGGTTACCTGAGTCATAAAGAACTGAAGCTGCTTCTGTTGTTTCTAATATCACTTCCTCTGACAACCAAATCTATTGGTCGAAGAATCCTTTCCCATTTTAGATGAGTTTGAGTAAAATTGTGTCAAAATAAAACTATTTTGGTAGCAAAAAACAATCATAGTAGCTAAAATCTGCTGGTTCTTAGATGACCTGTGAAACAGTTGGAAATGCTAAGTGAAAAGGAAGAAAATAATCTACTCCAATTTCATATAAATTTGTTTTAAAAGTGGTTATAACATTTCAAAATCAGTATACATTTATATGTTCTAAATACTTTACATATAACAATACTATGTGCTAGGTACTATTAGCTCCTTTTTTTCAGCTACAAAAACTGGGGCACAGAAAAGCCAAGCCAAAAGTCACTCAAAAGTAAGCTGAGGAGGCAGGACTGAAACACACTTATTCCTCTATAGCCTGCACTGCCAGTCTACTAAGTTCTTCAAACTGGCACAAAAAAACAGAGAAAAATAACATTGTGAAGTTTTACTGATGAATAGTATAACAAGAGGAAGTACTTCCTTTAAAAAACTGAAACCTTAAAATGAGTTTTTTAAGTTGTATCAGACATTATTATAAAAAGACTCCATTCCTAGAGAAATGCAAATCAAGACTATAGTAAGGTACCACCTCAGACCAGTTAGAATGGGCATCATTAAAAAGTCTACGAATAAATGCTGGAGAGGATGCGGAGAAAAGAGAACCCCCTACGTTGTTGATGGGAATGTAAGTTGGTGCAGCCACTATGGAAAACAGTATAGAGGTTCCTCAGCAAACTAAAAATAGAATTACCATGTGATCCAGGGTTCCAATCCTGGGAATATATCTGAACAAAACTATAATTCAGAAAGAATACACGCAGCCATTCACAGCAGCACTATTCACAATAGTCAAGACATGGAAACAGGCTAAGTGTCCATCCACAGATAAGTCGATAAGGAAGATGCAGCGTGGATATAATGGAATAATACTCAGCCATGAAAAAGAATGATGTAATGCCATTTACAGCAACATGGATGCCACTAGAGGTTATCATACTAAGTGAAGTAAGTCTGAGAGAGAAAAACACCATATGATATCCCTTATATGCAGAATCTAAAATATGACACAAATGAACCTCTCTATGAAGCAGACAGACTCAGACATAGAGAGCTGACTTGTAATCGCCAAGGAGGCAATTGTCCTAGAGCCAGACATCCTGGAGGGTGAAGTCAAGTGGGCCTTAGGAAGCATCACTATGAACAAAGCAGAGGGAGGTGACG